ATACTTTGATTCCCCATGGCGCGGGTATTGCCAAATTAAAATGTTTTTTTTGTTTTAATTGGTCGTATTGTTTTTTCTTGTTTAATTGACCAATTAATAATACTCATTTCATTTTCATTTTATGATTTGTTTTCATAGAAAACAAAACAATGTTTTTTTTATAAAGTGTATTCACTTGTGATTGGAAACATGTCTGGTAACATAAAATTAGAAAATTTTAATTGGTCGTATTATTTTTTCTTGTTTAATTGACCAATTAACAATACTCGTTTCATTTTCATTTTATAATTTTAGTTTAATAGAAAACAAAACAATGTTTTTATTATAAAGTGTATTCACTTGTGATTGAAAACATATTTGATAACATAAAATTAGAAATTTTTTTATTTTTTTTCTCTTTTTGGACCTCTTTTCGGTAACATATAATGACAACAATGGTTATCAAATATGTTATGATATTTTGTTTCGTTACGATATACCACCCACAATACAAAACACGTAACAAAAATATCTACCAAACTGGCCTAGGTATGCAATGAAAAATAAATGCAAATTCTAGTATATCTTCTTGTTTAGGTTGGATTCTGAAAATTCCAAAATATAGAGTTTTTGAGATTCGTCTATATATCTCATTTTTTCTTCACAAGGTAAACTATTTTGTCAATCTTCACTTGAAAACCTAAGCTATAAGCCGAATCACATTTTGTATTTGTTTTCATTACATATTTCTTAATTATTTTGCAAGTTTTTTTATTTTTATTTTTATTTTTATTTTTATTTTTATTTTTTTAAAATAAAAATATATTTTTATTTTTTTTTATTTAATACAATGTAGAAGTCATGGGCGGAGCTTTTAATGGGCTAACTTGGGCTATAGTTCAAGTCCAATTTTTTTTTTTATAAAAAAATTAGTACTACTATTCTTATCAGCCCAGTCCATATATAATCAATTTTTAGTACTATTATTTTTTCTTCCTATCAACCCAATCTATAGTACTACTTTTCCTTTTCCTATTAACCCAATCCATATGTGATATGTAATTAATTTTTACTGCTCTTCAGCCACTTCCTCTCAACACGCATTGGTATTTTCCCTCAAAGGATTTGGCCTGTTTGGGGGTCTAGAAAGGAAATTGCAAACTTGAAAGGGGGGGTCCAATTTCTCATCTTTTTAAACAAATATTGATTAAAAATCAGTCAAAAGAATACATAGAAGAATAATAATCTCTCTGAGATCAGGAAACTCGATTTTTTTATTTTTATAGCTTAATTTGATATATGAGAATATTATCGTTTTTTGATCTATTTTTTTTTAATATATATAACATATCTTTAACATTAAAATTATTGTGTTCTTTTTCAAATTTTCTTATTATCTTTAGCCGCCCATACTTTACAATCCTAACTTTGCCCATGGCAGAAGTAATCAAAAGTATCATTGGTCTCTTTTTCGAAAGCGATTCGGTACTATTCAAATGACAACAAATATTACTAAACATACTTCGTGGTTTTGCTTTGCTACAATATATTAGCAAAAGTAAAAAACACAAAGTAAAAGCAGTTACCATTTTTTGTTTCTAAATTTTTCAATTTCATAACTGCCTTTTTTAATTTCAATAATCCATCTCTCATGATCTCACCACTCATAGGAAGATAGAAACACTACAAAACAAGGAAATCTTTGATGATTTTACTTTTGTCCATTTCTTGACATTCAATTTTGTTGGGATCCAAAGGTTGTTCACATTAAAGACCAATAATGGAAAGAAAGATGGAAGGAGGAGAAAAAATCAATATAAAGTATTCACCTAATGTCAACAAATTAATGTGTAAGAATAGAGGGGAAATTTAGGTAGAAAATTAAATCGAAGAAATTAAGATGAATCAATATGGAGACGGCAGCTAAATAACAAATTTATCCTTTGAACCTCATTGAGCGCTTCGTTAAGGTCACGTAAATTCTTCCCTGTCCACGGCTGTGCCGTTTAAAAAAGTCAGTAAATATTTTAACTTTTCCAAAAACAGTTTGATATATTTCAAAATACACCCACTGATCTAAATTGTAAACCGACAAACAAATCCAATAGATCGAAGACTCACAAAATTTCTGGAACTAATAGTGATATAGATGTGATGTTGGTTAGTTGGTAAGCTTGAAGTCTTGGAGTGAAAAGAAAAAACAAAGAATCTTCGGAAAAAAGCTTCGATGATGTAAATAATGTGAAAGAGTGTTGACGAGAGGGATAGAGTATTGTTCAGTCACGAGAGAAAAAGAAAGAGTGGTAAAAAAGATGAAAGACGAATGAATTTTAGGTTAACGTAGAAGACAAACTTAACATTATATGTTGTAAGATTTTTTTTTGTAATTTTATTATAAGATAATTGTAGTGTGGAGTCAGAGGAGGTTAGTAGAACGAACGCTAATATCACTAGCCTAAATAAATAAACTATTTAAATGATTATTGCTCTACTAAAAAGAAATGTTTTTTAAAGTGTAAAGATAATTAAGCTGACTAACCAATACAAATGAATAAAAAATAATTAATTACTTTGATTAGATTACATGAGAGACTCACACTTGAATACAGTAATTTTTAATGAGCTTAATTTTTCAGTTTCGATAGCATTACTCTTTACTATATATATAAAATATATTGATTAATTAGAGGTTGTGATGCTACGATTTTGTTTAAAGGGTGGTAAATCAGAATTGAATCCATCGTAACATTTTTATGAAAATATTTGTATACCTTTTGAATTTTGTTTGGTCTGATTTTTTTTTATGGTTTTAATCATTTATATTTAATCTTGGAATCTTTCAAAAATTGTTTGTTTCAAGTTTGGAGTCCGATAAGACTTAACTGGACCGAATCAAACCATTAAATATATTTTATATGATATGTATAATAGAATAACAAGATTTGGCTTTAGGCCTATTATCCTTTTAGCCACTGACCTATATATTATAATAATAATATATAAATTTCATTTTATGGGGATTGAGTTATAAAAAAGCTTCAAACTGAATCAATTGTTTCTCTTTGGTTCCATTAATTTCACATGAAGACCAATTTTATTTTTGGTTCCATTAATAGGGTAGGTGGATCTACGAGATTCATGAACAAAAGATATTATGGTTGATAATGGCAGTATCATGTTTCATTTAAAAAGGGTGTTTACAATTTTGTTTATTTTACGTTTTGTTTAAAAGAGTAAATAAGAATTGAATCAATCCTAACATTTCTATCAAAGTTAGAATCAAACCAAACTCAAATTGGATACATTTTGGATTATTCAATTTTACAAATTAAGCTTACTTTAAAAATAGTTCAATAAAAACCACTTTTGCGGATTCTAGAATGCATTTCTATTTTTAAAAAAGATTAATAACATGCCAAAAGTGTAATATGTAAACAAAACTTTAATATATATATATTTTTCATTATTAACTTTAACTTTAATATTTTTTTATTAGATATCTATATCTATATCTACTGTTAAAGGGTATACATATTTTGAATTTATATGTATATATTTTTAATTTTTTTATCAAGTAATATTATAAATTTTCGACACAAATATTTGGTAACCTTTGAAATTCTCAGCACTAATAGCATTTTGATACCAAATTCTCAACTGTGATAAAAAATAAAAAAATAGTGAAACATGCATCTCATCTTTAAATTAAATTAAAGCTGTTATAAAGTGTGTAGATTTTTTGAATTTTTATATACATTTTTCATAAGTTTTAATCAAATAATATTAGTAATTTTGAAGGTAAAGTTTGGAATTCCCAACACTAATATCATTTTGATACCTATGGAATTCTCAACTTATAGAATTTTAAAAATTTTGTGAAGTATGCATCCCATCATTAAAGCTTACATACTGTTTTAAAAAATAAATAAATAAAATTAACTCCAATTTAAATACACAAATATATTCATCTATCTTTCTGCTATTAAAATTGTATAGATTATTATAATTTTTATACACATTTTTTAATAATTTCTTAATCAAATAAATTATAGTTTTTTTTTCTTTTATTTACTATTATTATTATTATTATTATTATTATTTGTTTTTATACAAATAGTTGGTAACCTTTGGAATCAGTAGCTTGGGGACCTTTAATAGTGTCTTATTGCACTATTATATTATTCTAGTAATTTTTTAAAGTTCCACAACCGTGGTTCATAATTGAATCAAACCAATTTTTATGGTTTAGCTCGCTTTGGTTTTAGGGTCATAGTTCCAGTTTTAATTTCTTAGGAGCTATTGGAATAGGTTCGGTTCGATTCTAACTTAACTTGAAAACGTACCGAGCCAAATCAAATCATTTGCATCCCAAGTGAAGACTCTATTCATTTTTAAAAAATTCTTTGTTCAGCTTGATGTAAAATTGTAAGCCAAGGTTTTAAAAAAGAAAAAAAAAAAAACAATTATGCATACAAAAATAAATATGAATATTAGGGGATGATTATGATTTATTTGAATTTATTTTGACCTCCCAACTTTGAATTAAAACCATTAAAAGAGAAGGCATTAGTACATTCATTTTTAAGTAAATTTTATTGAGATTTGTCAATATTTCATATAAATCCTTTTTACATTTTGTAATTTTACTTACTTTCCTTCTAGTGATGGACTATTTTTACCGTTTATTTTAGGAATTAAAAAGACAAAATTGACCTTTCAGTTTTCTACTATTGACATCAACGAATTTTGTTTTTTCTTTCACCAAAAATTATTAGGTATCAGGGAATTTATATAGATTTGGCTTGAAAATTATAACATTTTGTATTGAGATGCTATATAGTTTTAATTTTTAATTTATTATTGTGGAATGATTTGTAAAATATTTCCCTTTTATCACAAGGTGAGAGTTCACGTGTTTTTATAATTTTGAAAATAAATTAAAAATATTAAAAAAGAAATAGTACATTGCATTTTGACAATTATTTTGGGACAGAAAAAATAGATAGGTGGACTTTCTGGGACTCAGTCACTTTGGGCTGTTGGGTCGGGTTTGGACTTTGTACCGACTCTGAGAGCGTGAAATCTCACTTCTCAACGGTGTCGAAGACAGAGAATGAATCACAAATTCAGAGGGAGACAGCCGACGGGGACTCCGTCGTTGGCGTGGTCGAGCGTCGTAGTCGTTGCTTCTCTTCTTGCCGGCGCCTCCGTCGTCCACAACATCTTCAAGCCTGATTTGGTATTCGCTTCTCTCTTTATATATATATATATATATATATATATATATATATCTATATATGTATCTATGTGTAGATGAATGAGTTAAACTTCATTGGTTTACCAGCACCCACAATGAGTTTATTAAAATAATAAAATCTTATAAAAAGTATAACTACAAGTATTGTAGTTGATTATGAGACATGGAACGTCCTTTAACTGTAAAATTTCATTGGTTTTTCAATTTCCTATTAAGTGTTTGATAAAATGTCCCAAAGATTTCATTATTTATACAGCTGGAGGGTTGATAGTGATCTCAAGACTCTTGTTCTTTATAAGCAGATGAAGAAGTTATGGACCACTAAAACAATCCTTTTATTCTTGAAACTTGGACTTTAGTTCCTATTTGTAAAACAGTAAGTTTTTCTGCTGAAAATGGCATTTTCCATTTGACATTGTATCTATATGTTTGAGTTGCCTGTAGTTACTAATTTTTATTGGGTACTGTTACCTTATGACAACAGTGTTGGTCGAAATGGGAATGTTGAAACGTATATATGGCTCAAGACAAAAAAAAGATAGAATTAGAAATGATTATAATCGTGGTATGATTTTAGTAGAGCACATATTGATGATAAGATGAAGAAAAATCAATTAGAATGGTGTCGCCATATGCAGCGCAGATTAATAGCTGCACGAGTGAGGTAATGATATGGTAAAACGTTAAGAATAATGTTTGGGGAAGACAGACCAAAACTAACATGGGTTTAGATAGTAGAGAAAGGTACAAGTGTTTATGGTTTAACTTAAGGTAGTGCCTCATTGAACAACATGATGAAATTATATGCAGCTAATCTCAAATAATTGGGACAAACTTTTGTTGAGTTGAGATGTATTAGGTTTATTTGTTATTGTAGCTTGAATTAAATTTTGTTGCTTCCAGTGTCTCGATGTTAAAAAAAATAAAAAATCCGAAAGCAAAAGAAATTTTTTTCCCACAATATTGTTTCTCTTTTTCTTCTATTTATTCCGTTTTAGTCTTTCACATTTTAATGCTTTTATATTGTGAAATGCAGACATTGCCTCCAGTAGACAGTGTTGATGGAGTTAAGCAGGAGCAACCCAAGAAAGAATGAACTTTTTTATTTTTCGCAAACCTGTATGTGTAGGTTTGGGTTTGATGAAAAGGGAAATTAATGTGGGATGTGTTGTTCTTGATTTAGACATTGTGTTATAAATACTGATAGCATTGGAAGTTTTTCTTGAGAATTTTTCTTGAACTGGTTGCCATGTTGAGTTTTTTGTATGTTTGATCAATATAAAACTGATTAATTAGATTTTGTTGTTTACTGTAAAGTTGGCAACCTTGACCAAATCATGCACAAAATTTAACAGGATTGTATTTGTTTTGCAGATCTCACTAATCAAATCCAACTAGTTGATATATTTTTTTGAATATCTTTCATTTTTTTATGAGTCATCCGTTTCCACTAATTCTCAAGATTTCTACTTGCACTCAAAAATAAGGTGGGAGTCATCTTGTTCTCAAAACGTTACGTGAGACGGGTTTGGTGCATCCCTTCTTGATATACATTAGACTAAATGTAGACAAACTCTGTACTCTCTGAAAAGAGTGATGATGCTTTTACACTGGTTATTGTTTATATTCTACAAACTTCTTATAGCAATATTTGTTCCACACATGAAAAAAGTAATTGTTAATTTGTGTAGAATTAGTATGTTGTTTCAACTATGGAGAATTAAGAGGGATGGAGCTCGATTTGGTGGATGCAACAGGGATTCTTTCGGTTGTGGGGAGCTATCATAAGATCGCTGCCATTGTGGAGTGGACCATATGAGTGCCAGGACGGAGCAAAGGTTTCCTATCTGGCAGAATGACAGTTCGAATTGCAATAATTGGGATGGAGCTTGATTTGGTGGATGCAACAGGGATTCTTTCGGTTGTGGGGAGCTATCATATGATCGCAACAGTGGACCATACCAGTGCCAGGATAGAGCAGGTTTCCTATATTGCACTACGGAAGTTATTTTGGTGTTAGACAGGTTTCTGGTGGATCAATGGTGAGGACATGGTTATCTTCGTGATCATACCAAATATTTTTGGGGGTGAATTATAGCAGCCAAAATTGCAACTGTAACATCTCATCCAATAGGATGTCAAAGAGCTTAGGCAGTTGCGCTGCGTCATATTTTTTAAGGGCATTTGCATTGAAAGAGCAACCTTGTTCTGTGGGTTGGAAGACAATAGTGAGTTGTGTCGTTTGTTCCTTCTTTAAGCATTTAGTATATATATTTGTCTGATAATTTCCTTGTAAATGAAATATTATCCACTAAATAGGTTGATTACTTGAGACACAGTGACATACAACTGGTTTACAGGTCCAGTTCTGTCTTTAGTAATGGCATTCAATTATTTGGCATTCTGGATTGAACAGGGACTTGCGCGAAGTCTTTGATGGAGGTGGTTGATTCAGCAGGCATTCGCACTGTTTCTGGCCTCCCGGTGCCCTGGCACGGTTGTAACTGGGAAAATTCAGTTCATTGATGCATTTGGATCTCAATGTAGGCGGTTTGTCGACCTTGAAAAAGGTTTTGGAAATGAAATGTGCCCATGCCATGGATTAAATGAAATGAAGGCTGTTTGATCAGTCTCCCCAGTAGGAAAGCGACACCATGTCCCCATGTCATATGGATTAATAGAGGGCAAGCTAAGAGTGGGAAGAGAGTGTGTGTGGAGCTATAAGTCACACAATCTTTTGTAACAGGTATCGCTCTGAGCGCGGTTCTACTCTTGCTTAAATTTTGCCCTATTTATAATTTAATTTTGCAAGTTTTGCACTCCCACTTTTACTATGTGGAGGCTGTGTCACCTAATTAAGGCAGCAGCAATAACATCAATTTTGTTTGTCATTATGGTTATCCACTCTGATGAGACAACCAAGTCCACTCTAGTAGAATAAGTGACTTATAATCATAATGGTACTTTTTTTTAATTTTTTTTTGGGATACTATTCATAACTGCGGAAGCAATCAGAAACACTAATTTGGTGTTTTCTGTTTTGACCTTTTTTTTTAGAAATGTTTTAATACTATTCAAATTACAGTAAACGTTATCAAACACGTTTCCGTATTTTGTTTTACAGTATGCTGTTCGAAACAGAAGTGTTTGTCAAACAGGTCTCATATGTTGACTTATATTGGATTTGGAAGTATGAATTGTTGGCTTGAATTTGGGATTGGAAGAAATTTATTGTTGTGAATTTGGGATTGGAAGAAATTTAGCTCAAATCCTAAATCTAATATTACCGATTCAGTGCTTTCAAACATGACGTTAGGATAATTGCTTGTGCATTATTAATTAATGGTTATGTCAAGCATGAAAAGTATATATGAATTTGAATAATCTATCATAGTTACTTTTAATTTTATTCAATCTATAGCTAGAAGATACAGGTGATATCAAAGCAGTCTCAATTTTACACAACATGATTTTTATTCGCATCAAGAAATCCTGACACAAACGCGATACAATTATTACACGGTTAACATGACATGACAAGACAAACGTAACCCGTTTAATAAATGAGTAAAGACTTGACACGATACGAAACTATACAACAACATATTAAAGTCATTTCTAATATAAATATAACACATTTAGTTAAACGGGTCATTTTTAATACGAACATGACACATTTATATTACACTTTTAGTTAAACGAGTTAATCGATTTATAAACGAGTTAGCAAGTCAAACATGAACATAATACGTTTATTTACATATTCAAGTTGGTACGACCATGACAAGAAACATTATGAAACCAAACTCAAACCCGCTTTATCCTTTGTCCTGTTCAATTCATATCAAATATTTTCCTCCAATGTCCCAACCCCCAAATACTTGCAACGTTTGAGCAAAAAGCACTATTCTTTAAACAAATTATGAGTTTGGCTGTAGAAGACACATTTGAAAAGGATAGACATCTCTCGTGTAAAAATATAGAAGTCCAAGCATTACTATTTCTCACACTATCCTAATCGGGGTTGTCTAACAAGTAACAACTGCGACAATTCCAGTTTCAATAGCGTATTTGTTGCAGTTAAAAAATTCCTAATTATATCTTGATTTAGATCAACTTGGTTGCGTGTCACCAACAATCGTCAAGTGGGTCATTGCTACAACGTTGGATCAATGGTCCAACATGTCAGTTTGTAGCTTTGTATCGTCCAACAAGTTTTGTCTCTTTGTTTTTTTATTTTGATTTTGATTTTGATTTTGATTTTGAATTATTTATTTATTTATTTTTTCATACATCAACAGTGATGGGAGGTGGTTCACCGTTCATCGAACCACATGGTTGGCTCATCTACCCTAACCACACATCATTAATTGCGTCTATCACATACCCGACCCCCTCTAAACTTCCAACTGCTCAGAACTACCTCTCTACATTTAAGACCCTCCTATATAACACTCCTTGTACACAAATCTCCGATTGATTCTCATCTTTTGTGGATCTTCATCTATTAGATCAAAAGGGTCAGTCGATTACTCTGTTTCGTGAACTGGGTCTCCTCATTTTCACCTTCCAATCCCTCATCTCCGAGGATGAAGGTCACTATCATTTCACGCAGCGGTAGAGAACTCATAAAGGGTGGTCTTGACCTCAATGATTCAGTATGTTCTCTCCCTTTAGGTTTTGCTTTTCGTTTTCAAATCACACACACTTTCCATAGATGTGTATGTGTTTTTGCATTTATATATTAGAGTGTGATTTGTGTCTATGTTTGGGTTGTGGTATAGGCGACTGTTGCTGATCTTCAGGAGGCGATTTATAAGCGAAGTAAGTATTGGATGTGTTCTAATATTGCAAAAATTATAGTATCAGTTGTTTATTTTGGGGATTGTGGCTGTTAATTTTGAATATATGATGCCTGGTTGATATGTTTATTTATTTATTTTGCTAAATTTGTCTAGACCAGAGAGCTCATAAAGTAATAGCTATTATTTGAAATTTATTGTGATTGTAATGGCCAACTACAGAAATAGTGTGTCTAAACCAGCTTCTTCCACGCTATGTGTATCTTCAACTTAGTATAAAAAATAGAAAATGGAGATAGATCCTTGAATTTAACATTTTTTACATGGAAAAGTACTGGCAGATTTTTATTTATGCATTTATTTTTGTGTGTTACTAAAAACTCAAATGCTTTTGCTTTTACCTGGAAATAATTTTTCAAAGTCAAAAAACAAAAGCTCCCTGGTGTACGTGGAGGTGGGTTGATTGGCAACTGTTAGGGACGGAGTCAGAAAATGATTTGAGAGGGGGCCTTAAACAATAATAAGAAAAAATAATTTCGAACTACCGTAATAAGCCAAAGAACTTTAACTTAATACTAGATAATTTAATCTAAAATCAGTCATACTTCCATTTCAATTATTTTTCTGGTAGATTCACCTATTTCAATTTTTATCAAGATAACATATTAAATGCAATTAAAATTAAAGGAATTCTAACAAGAACCATGTGTACACATAAAATTTCTAATTTAGAAAGAAAACAGAAATTGGAAACTAACAAGTTTTAATATGATTAATTTTACTTATCAAAAAAAAAATATGATTAAACTTTTTTTTTTTCGTAGACGAAGATGGTAATTAAAGGCTATCTTAGAAAATATGTGGTCAACCTATATCCAAGAAGCCTGGCTTATTGTGAAGTTTAAAGAGAGAGGTAGGGGGCATGACCATGGCAGGTTTTGGGCATGGATAAGGGGTTTTGTTAAAATTCTAGTGGGGGCATTAGGAATGTAGTATAAATAATTAAATATTCAGTGGAGGCGGCCACCCCCATTGGGTCCTTAATGCTTCGTGCCTGAATGCTGTTCACAGTGTGGATTTGCTTATGAATTTCTCTCCAACATTGCATGCAATTATATTGGTAGTTCTGCATTTAATAATATAGATTCTTTTTGATTCTGTTTTCCTTGAATTCACCGGGATGACTTTTGTGTCAATCTTTTGATTTTTTGGGTGGTTGGGTTAAATTTGAATAGAGTAGCTTTTGTTTATTGTTATTTATTATTACCTTGGTAGTAGGGCTGCCCTGTGCTGAGAATTAGATATGAGTCTCACATATATATCAATGGGACACTGACTCATTTTTCTTAGGAGATTAGCATGCAGTTGGTTGTATGTAACTGCTCTTTCCTTGCAGAATGAATTGATAATTTTTTTGGAAGGTAGAATGAATTGATATTAATCATAGCTGTGAAGCACTATTTTGGTGTGCAGCTGTGGGGACTGATGCACGGGTTTAAATGGATATGATGGTGATGTATATATAATAATTTTGTATAGTCTATGTTCTGGTTCTGGATTCTTGATACTTCCATAAGTTGGTAAATGTTTTTAATTTGCTAACTAATTTAGGGTTCAGTGATATGGTTTTGAATTCCACCTGTATATGTTTTTGATGGTCTCGAGCCCAAAGAAAGTGGGTTTGTGTTTCATTCACACACAATAGTAACCCTGTGATCAAGTCCCTTTTGAAGTAGATCTTGAATTTTCAAGGTATGACCCTAAATAGAGTAAAATAGAGAACAATGCTGGGCTGATCCCAGCTAGTTGGAATTTCTTGCTGAGTTGATCTAGTTTGTATGGAGCTTTAAAGTGAAAGGGAGTGCTAACCAATATTCATGGGAAGAACCAGATGTTAAATTGAACATGATCATAACATTGTGTAACTGTGAAGCTTTTCATGGGCTTTCTTCACTACTAGCATTGTGCTCATATTTCTTGGGACTAAACTCATCTGGTTTAAAAAGTTTTGTTAGTAAAGTGGCTAAATCTGGGTACGTGTACTTGTCATTAATATTGTTCAATAAAACTGGTGTGATTGATTCTGAGGACAGAGGACCATCTCAAGAGTAGTGACTTCTACTTTTTATAGCTTGATGGATCCTTTCTTTTTGTGGTATAAACTTAAACTGATGGAAAAGAAGAATTTCTCTAGTTTCTTATTGTTTCAATTGTGCCATAGACAATCTGGAAAAAATTTCCTCAATTTCCCCCGAAGTCCTTCGTGATGCCATATGAAGCACAATCAGGTGGATGGCTTCTTGGCTTCCTCCCTCGACTTGTTATTCCTCTACTGTTCTTCCTTTCACGAAATCATCATTCTAGGAGGTAACAACAAGCTTCTTTGAGCGTTAAGTTGGCATTAAAGTGGCTATTGACGGGCTTCATGGCATGGAGAGCATATTTTTTTAGCTGCATGCTTCTCAAATATAGATTTGATTGTTAGACTAGACCACCTAAATACCAAATCAATACTTGAAGTCATAGGGACATCTCTTCTCACTCTGACAGTCTGACTCTTAACGATTACAAGTAACAAAGTTTTGGAGCCTAGACATTTTCTAACGGGAATAGAGTAATATTGACTGAGAATAGTTTCTCAATTCTTAGAATAGTGTTTATATTATCTATTTTTCAGACTGTTGCTACATTCATGGAATGTTCTGTGGTGCAATGTGTGGTGTGCATCTCATGCATCTAGAGAGGATTTAGTGATTTACAGAATATTAAATATTGCATTCTGTTTTTATCGGTTATATTTCTCTTTTAAGAACAAACTTAAATGTTGATAATAATAGAGAATGAAAATTGGCAGTTGGTACCATATGTGGTGCTTGAATCCCCGCCTAGAGTATCTATTCGGGTATATGTAGTTTTAAGGCATGTCTTCATTTGAATCAATTGAAGCTGCTTATGGTTTATTGGGCCTACCTTTTTTATTATTAATGTTGCGATTGTTTTTCTAAACTCATTTGCTTGTTTGAATTTCGTCTTTCCCCCAGTATATGTTGGTCACTTATGTCACGTGATTTCTGTAACCTGATTTATGTATGTTGCCTCAACAGCCAAAAAGTACTATCCTTCTAGACAGCGCCTGACCCTCCCCCTCCAACCTGGATCCAAGGAGAAGCCCATTGTCCTTCACTACAAGAAAAGTGTCCAAGAATATTGCAATGGAAACTCTGACAACTTGACTGTAGTGTTCAAGCACCTTGGTACACAAGTTTCTTACCGGACACTTTTCTTCTGGGAGTATTTGGGTCCTCTGATCATCTATCCCATCTTCTATTACTTACCCATGTACCAGTACTTCGGCTACAAAGAAGAGCGTGTCATCCACACAGCTCAGACATATGCTCTATACTGCTGGTGTTTCCACTACTTTAAACGTATCATGGAAACATTTTTTGTGCACCGGTTCAGCCATGCAACCTCACCACTTTCTAATGTGTTCAGGAATTGTGCTTATTATTGGACCTTTGGTGCTTATATTGCTTACTACATGAATCACCCACTATATACACCTGTAAGTGACCTCCAAATGAAGATTGGGTTCGGGTTTGCGTTGGTTTGCCAATTATCAAATTTCTATTGCCATATCTTGCTGAGGAATCTTCGGAGCCCCAGTGGAAATGGAGGATACGAAATTCCACGTGGGTTTCTGTTCAATATCGTGACATGTGCAAATTACACAACAGAGATTTATCAGTGGCTGGGCTTCAATATTGCAACACAGACTGTTGCAGGTTATGTCTTTCTTGTGGTTGCTACTGCAATCATGACCAACTGGGCCCTCGCAAAACACCGTCGTCTGAAGAGGGTAACTTTCTTTTCTTTTTTCGTTTTGTTTCTGCTTAAACGATTATCTTTTGCATACACCCAGACATGCATTCAGTTTCTCATTTAAAAGAATGGGGCTCCTTTCTTGGTTGATTTATGGATCCACTTCTAGGCTTATAGAAGGATGGTTTGGTTGGAATATATGATTAGCAAAGTATGTTTTGGATTGGTATCCGATTGAATATTTATGACGTTTGGTTGCCATGGATGCTTATCAGCTTTGGAGAATTTTACACAAATCTTCCATTTTGATTTTAACAATGAAGAGAGTGTGGCTCTTTTGCGTGCATGTGCATTCAAAATTGGATCCATTGTTTTGCATATTGAATATGGGTCCTTTTTTATTCTCTATTTTTGGCAATAGATTTAGCTCCTAAAAGGCCATAAGCATGTACCTAGGAGATCCCGACAATTTTCCCATACATTCCTTCGAAAAGGAGACGTACATCTCTTGTTCCATGTAATGGTGTTACATTATGTCCCATCTTTGGCCCCAAATCTGCTACCTTATTAGTTTCTTTATGTATATTTGAAAGACCCTAGCTTGTCTGAAGAAGTTAATTAAGCATTGCCTACATTCTTGAATTAAGAACCAGGCCACCAATGATGTAGTTTGCTTGCATTTAAGGGCTTGAATGACAATTAGGGGATCTCCTTCAGTCAGAACCTTCTTATAGCTCAAATTAATTGCCTGTATACTGCCACCCTGAATATGGATCCAAATTTGATGCAAATTTGGTTTGGTTGAACTTTTATGCAATTTATGTGCTGTTTCTGATTGGGTTTGGATTATAATCCATGCTGTTAACCTACAAAGCAACTACATCCAGACAGGAAAGGCCTCATTTGATGGATTTCACCAGTGGAAATGTATATAGAACGGATGATATTAAGATTGTTAAAGGCACAGTGAAAGACTTACTATCCATGCAAAAGATTGAGCTGGTTAATTATCCATTTCATGGGGTATCATTGGTCATAATGACCTGTTCGCATTATTTTCTCATCACTGAATATTTTTATGCGTGTTTTTGTGTTAGTGGTCGACATCATTAAGAAGTCCATATTATGAAATATATCCTTCTCTTTTCCCCTTTCATAAATTGTTATTCTCACTTTTGACGCCTTTACGTTGCAGCTCTTTGATGGGAAGGAGGGAAGACCTAAGTATCCCCGCCGATGGGTGATACTACCCCCATTCCTGTAGAAGTGGCCAGCAACTCCACGACTTGGTCCGTCCCTTGCATCGGTCTGGATTCAGCAGCATTTTTTGAAGGGGTCAATTCTCATCAGATCTTGACCCTTGTATGACTTTAATCCATTTGAAATAGTTCCCGCACTTGTGCTTGACAAAGGGATGGTTCTTTTTTCCTTTTTCATTCTATATCATCATTTTGGGAGTGCTTTCAATCTTGTAGTTGTCACTCGTCACAGTTCTGTTTGATGGCTTTTAGACGATATTTGATAAGTTAATCAGCTGTTTTCGTTTTCCCCTTAAATTAAAATGTTTTTATTCATGGTTGCGAAGAATTGCCAGAGATTCAGAACTTTCATTAGCTCTGTTCTTGATACTGATCGTTTCCAGGCTAGACCAGTATCCACTGTTCTTATATGTGTATGGTCCTGCACATTACCATAATGCAGTTTCATTGACTAATGCGTTTGATTACACAACAGTTTTAACATTGAACTTTAGAACTAGCTCCTAAAGAGGAAGCAAGAAAAACCTTTCGATTACCATAACTGCCTCCAAACTCCTGCATTTTAACAACCAAAGGTTATGGCTCGTGTGTCAAAATGGCTGTGGGTGGAAACTAAGATTAGCAAATGGTTGTAGACCATTATTTTGTACTTTTTGATATGAACCAGTTTTTATTTGCCAACCAAATGCCTCAAGCTTATCGTGTAATTCTTACCGGAAATTGCAGGAGTGATTCTTGGTACAAGTGGCTTGAGCCTTGTAGCTTGAGTTTGAGTTAAGCTCAACCATGCACATCTTATCCAGTATGAAGTAGAACAATACTCTTGTGATTCCACTTTGCAGATAATCTATGTGTATAATCTTCAAGTGGTACAAAGTGTGTGTATGTGTGTGTGTTGTGGTTGCAACATGTATGCAAACTTAAAGTTGCCTTCTTGCTAAGATGCTGGAAAAAAGAGTGGATTTGGAGAAAGGGGGTATCAGCATAAGTGCATCCACTATCATAAAAGGTTTCTGGAAAGGGAAAGGGAAAGGGAAAGGGAAAAGGGAAAGGAAAAGGAAAAAGGAGAACTAGAGAAAGGGGACATTAGCACAGGTAAACATGGATGGAAAAAGCATTTTCCAAGCAAAAAGGTTGCATTGACAACTGTGGGCTGAAGAAAAGTACCCCTATCTAGTTGGAAGCATATTTCTGAATGAAGTGTTAAATTCATTAAAAAAGGTTTGGGTTTTCAGACAAACCACATATGGATTGAACTTGTAGCAATGGCTCGTACATATTATATCAACCTACAATACCAACAGACTTGATACAAAACACAACTTTTTGGCTGTCCAAAAAGCATTCTTCATCAAAGGTGATGTCATTTCAATTAAAGAAACAATAATAGAAAGAGAATCAAGAACCCTAATTCTTATAAATAAATAAAAATGTATCACTCAAACGGTTGAGGAGTGATAGTTGTCTCAGTTATGATTATGATTATACGAAAAATGTCCACAATCGTACAATTACTACATTCATAAATTTTCATTGACGAGATAACCGAGAAAAACATCAAATCATGTTTGGAATGAAATGTTCTAAAAATTATTAGATAGTATTAATTCATTAATAATTGGTAGACCAGTTCAATCCAGACTCTCTTATTGAAAAAATGGCTAAACAAAAGTGTATTAATAAATATATTACAGAAAAATCTCAATATTAGTTTTCACTAAATTAGTCTATCAAGTGTCAAATAATTAGAACAGTCTAATAATTTCAAGAAATGAAGAGGTTAATGATATTTGTTCAATCTTTTTGAATAGTAAAAAATTGGTATACTTAAAAAAAAATTAAATTATCAATAAAGAAGATTAGTTAACAATTTTTTATTTGAAGTCATTTGCTACGGGGCGAAGCCGTGTGCCCCCCTGCCTAAAATAAAATATACAGTACTAATTTTTTAATTTAGTTTTATATTTATAAGAACATTTCTCTATAATGTCTTCCCTAAAATTTTTAATTTCTAAAATTATCTTCTAAATTTTTCTTTTGCTCTTAATATTCTTTTGATTTCCTTAAAAAAAAAAAAAAGGTTAAATTTTCCTTCTTTGCTCAAACTCTAATTTTTCTTTCCTTTCAAAGTTTTCATTTTTCTTTCCTGCTTTTTTTTTTTTTTTTTTTCCCTACTTGTTAAAATTCTTGTTTTTGCTAAGAATGATGTATATAGTATGTAAATTTTTTTTTTTTTGTTCTTATTATTTAAATTATGATTTTTTTTAACACAACATCCTAAATTAAAATCCTGTCTCTACCCCTATTTGCTACAATACTTATAAGGTGATTTGTGTAGAGATTTCCAACAAAAATAAATAAAATTATAAATGAATTATCTCTGCATGTGTCTGTAGCTGTAATATTTATACTGTATTGTAAGCCAACAAAGACAAAGGCTAAAAGCGTCATTGCAAGAAAAGAAAAGAATATAAAATGACTGGAAAACCGGAAGGAGCTGTGCCCACCACTCATCATAACCCCACGACGTGTCACCGTGTCCGTACGTCCAGTCTGTAAAACAATCCAACGGCTCAGATCACTTCTCTCTCTTCATATAATCACCATTCCGTTTTGGTTAGACTTCTATTTATGCTCTCTCTCTTTCTCTCTATTTACGGTGCCGATCAGAGACCATCTCTTTCTCTCTCTCAAAACGAGAAGTCTAGGGTTTGTAGAGGTAACAATTTTCTCACATTGTTCGTTTATCAATTCGATCTCTTTTCTCTTGCTGTGGTACATTCAAATGAAATGCTCTTTATACCGATCCGAAATTGCGTTTTGATGATTGAATCTTTGAATTGTGTTTGTATAGCTCATCTCAGATTTGCTTTTATATTTAGTCTCTATGTACGTCTATATTCGATGACATATGATGCATGTAGCGCGTGCATTTTGGTCTATTGATTGTTGATTTTGATGATTGATATGTTTTTCATTTGATGCTGTTACCATTGTGATTTGAATGCGTTAATTGAAGATCTCTTGGGTTTGTTTGTTAATTTTTAATCGATATTTTCATTTGCTAAACATGTTATTAATTAATCTAGAAGCAATTTTCTATTTTTATAGCAATAAGAAACTACTTTGAGTTATCTTATTGTTTGGAATTTTATAGATCTTATATATTGCTCTTGCTGATAGATTCATATATAAAGAGCATTTTGTATGGATTATACGACTATCTCATGAGATTTTATTTGTGCCATTATGTTTTATATTGCATTCCTATGTGAAAAAATCATGATCATGAATGGTACACTCAATGGAAATGGCATAGAACTTATGGCAATGAGTTAATTTTTGAGTTTTGTTGTAAAAGACATAAATTTGGAGTTTGCTGTTATGACTCCTTTGATATGCATTCTCATTTTAATAATTGGATAGATTTTTGTAAAAACAATAAAGCTATTTTATATATGTGAGACATCAAATCTCTGCAAACTTTTGTAGCAACTTTTTGTTGATTAGTATTTGATACACAAATATATATGTGCTCTATAGCCTCTATTATTTTTCTCCAACTCATCCAACTCATACAGATTTCTCGATTTTCCATTTTCTCTAGGCTCTGCTTTTGTATTGGTAGTATGAATATGCAGAGATATTCTTTTTGTGAGAACTTGGTGATTAGAACTTTTATCCTTCAGGATTAGAACTTTTATCCTTCGGGCAAACAGAAGAGGCATGATAAACATTTCTTAAATATCCACTGAGATGATAGGTTTCTTAAAGAGAGAAGGTTTTGCAGTTAATTGTTTCATATTATTTTCTGCTGAAGAAAACAGACCCTCTATAGAAGTTTATATTCCATCATATTATGTGAATTGTAATTTATTTCGGGTAGTTGTTGCTGGTATATATATATATATATATATATATATATATTTCCTTTCCTATATATATAATATTCTTTTTGGTGGGGAGGGTGGACTTTTAGTGGAGGATAACTGTAAAGCACAGAGATTTGCTATTTAGAAGCAATAATTTACCGCCTTCTTGTATTGTATGTGGAGCCTTATTTACATTATTTTAAGTTATGTGTGGTATTAGGTTAATCAGCTTTTGTGACTAGGTAAGTAGGCTCATGCATCAATCATGATATATTTGTATAAGCAATGGCATGCTTGTTTTTATGTGCTCTGTTACTATGCTTCATACTGATGTATTTTTAGATATTGATCCTTGCTAATTTCTATATATCTTCATTCACGTCTCAAAGATATGGATAATAAATCACAAAAAAAAACATATACTATTTCTTTCAGTGCCTTGTGCTCAATTTCCACTTTTATATCCCAGGATTGAACACTGACATTGTGCCAATTACTTTTAGTTTATCTTCATTCCATGTGGCGGTTTAGCTGATGAATCAGAGATTAAGCCCAACCCTTCAATCTCAACCTGAGAAAAAGAGGAAAATATTATGCTTGTATTTACTAATGCTGCATTTTTATCCAGGAGGTAGCAAAAGATGGCAGATGCTGAGGACATTCAGCCACTTGTTTGTGATAATGGGACAGGAATGGTGAAGGTACAGAACATGCTTTCTTAATCAATAGGAGTTTTGTGTTCTAGTTGCTAACATGCTGAACAGTTGCATAATGCTTGCTTGGGAGAATTGTGCTTTATTGCTTTTCCTCTTTCTTGTACTGAAGAGTGGACTAACTGTATTGTATCTTTTAGGCGGGATTTGCTGGAGATGATGCTCCGCGGGCCGTTTTCCCTAGCATTGTTGGACGCCCTCGTCACACTGGTGTGATGGTTGGCATGGGCCAAAAAGATGCATATGTTGGAGATGAGGCACAGTCGAAGCGTGGTATCCTAACTTTGAAATACCCTATTGAGCATGGTATTGTAAGTAATTGGGATGATATGGAGAAGATATGGCATCACACATTCTACAATGAGCTCCGTGTTGCACCAGAAGAGCACCCTGTTCTCTTGACTGAAGCACCTCTCAATCCCAAGGCTAATCGTGAGAAGATGACTCAAATCATGTTCGAGACCTTCAACACTCCTGCTATGTATGTTGCCATCCAAGCTGTTCTTTCCCTGTATGCGAGTGGTCGGACAACTGGTAAGCAATTCAATTAATTAATTGGCTCAAAAATGGTTTGGCTGGGGTTGGTTCTTTTGACAAAAACTAACATATAAACGTCCAAAAGCCCAATTGTTGTGTACTGAAATTTATGTTCTGGGAGTTCACTGCAACTCTTTTTGGTTTAATTTTCCATCATTGGTTTCTTGAGGAGCAGAAAGTTGCTTAAGTGTCAAGATGACTTTGGTATCTCGTCAAACAAGACATGGAATGGAGATGTTGCATTAATACATTCTGCTTTTTATCATTTCATAACCAAAATTTCATGTGCAATCATGTTTCTTATACGTCTGCCTTACAGGTATTGTGCTGGATTCTGGTGATGGTGTCAGTCATACAGTCCCTATATATGAGGGATATGCCCTCCCTCATGCCATCCTTCGGCTTGATTTGGCTGGACGTGATCTCACAGATTCTTTGATGAAAATCCTCACTGAGCGTGGCTACTCTTTCACCACTACAGCTGAGCGTGAAATTGTTAGGGACATGAAGGAAAAGCTGGCTTACATTGCCCTCGACTATGAACAGGAGCTAGAGACATCCAAAACTAGCTCTGCAGTTGAGAAAAGCTACGAACTGCCTGATGGACAGGTGATCACCATTGGTGCTGAACGCTTCCGGTGCCCCGAGGTCCTTTTCCAGCCTTCAATGATTGGAATGGAGGCAGCAGGAATACATGAGACCACATACAACTCGATTATGAAGTGTGATGTCGACATCAGGAAAGACCTGTATGGCAACATCGTGCTCAGTGGTGGTTCGACCATGTTCCCGGGAATTGCTGACAGAATGAGCAAAGAAATCACAGCCCTAGCTCCGAGCAGTATGAAGATCAAGGTTGTGGCACCACCGGAGAGGAAGTACAGTGTATGGATTGGAGGCTCCATTTTGGCTTCCCTCAGCACCTTCCAGCAGGTTTGTTCCTTTTCGCACCTATATCTCAACATTACTGGTTCTTACTATAAGCTGCTATTGTGTGAATTGATTGGAGGGTTTTGGTTGTCTTACAGATGTGGATTGCAAAGGCCGAGTATGATGAATCTGGGCCATCAATCGTCCACAGGAAATGCTTCTAAATGTGCAAGGACGGGATTGTCAAACAATTCGGTACCTTTTACTTGGAAAGAAACACAAGCTTGCAGCCTTTTATTCTAGCTTTGTTTTCCATGTTTGTTATTCTCATGTTGGGTTCACGAATTTTAGAGGGCGAGAGTTGATTGCCAGAAATGTCTCATTCTTTCATTTTTATTTTATTCTGGAAGTTTTCAACTGTTGTCGTGCTACTACATTTGTAGCTTTACCTTTTTTCCAAGGCAATGATGGGTATGGTTTTAAAGAATTGTCTGATCTGATCTACTTCATTGTGAATTCATTTGTTGCATCTATTTGAGTTTTTTGGGAATGCATAAAAGGTCCATGAAAATTGAGATCAGTCCACTGCAGAAGTTAAATGGAGTGTCATCAGATATTAAACAGAGATTGTATTTGACATCCCACCAACATCTGTTGGACTATATATACCCTCTATTTTTTGGTTTCTAATCAGTATTTTGGATTTCCTATCGTGGTTCCTTGAGGATCTTATCAGATTAGATGTAAACGTTTCCGACTTTTGAACTCTTTAGTTAGGGGGATTTTTTTTGAGTTCAAAGTTTGCCTTACAAGCATGCATGAATTTTCAATGACCCTACCATATGTGCATTGTTTTTTTTTTTTTTTTTTTGGATAACCCAAACTCCCCAAGACAAGACCCTTACGAACCCCCCTCCTTGGGCACCAAACTGGGGATATTGCAACCGGTCCCACATACCACGGTATCAGGATGAGTCAAGGAACTAGCAGGGGGTAAGGCTCGAACTCGGGCGAATCAGTTACCAAGGCCAACACCTTACCATCACTGCTAGGCTCCGGGGCTACCATATGTGCATTGTTGAGGTGGTGTATCGACTGATTTTCAAACTATAAAATATATTCTAAAATTGAAATTGTAGTTGATGTTTTCAAACTAACCACTGATTTTCAAACCTAAAAATGAATTACGATGAGAAATTTCTGAAATAAGCCAAGAAACAAATTTCACATATCACAAGGTTGATAGGATTCATTTTAGTGTATGATATACATGTTTCCTTATTATTATTTTTTTTTCTTAAATTGTTTCATTATATTCTATTTATGTAATGTATTAGTTTATCTCATCCCAAAAATATCAATTTCTCTATATATATATCCCACCTATGTATATGTATTCCGAAAACGTCCCTGAACAGATCCATTATAGTACTGTGACAACATCAGGATGGCAAGTATAGCTGTCAAAAATCAATAAGAAAGCAATCATTGGAATGAAAGCAGAAAGAGTTAGCTAATTCCCCGAAAATCCCTCTATACATGGTGGTAAAACCCCAGCAGAAAACTAGCAATTTGACACCATATAATCATTTAAACATACAGGTCAACGGATAAAATAGTCACTACAGAATCAATAATGCAATATGCAGCAAACAGCTGATCTCTCCCATTATCTTGTCAAATTAAAGTATATGATGGAATTACAACTAAAAGCCAACGATTGACGCCTCACTGGAATCATCAACCATACCTCTTTCTAAAACAAATAATTTCGGGGGGTGTTTATTTCCAGCTCTTTTAGACTCCAATGAACAAAATTCGATTAATAATAATAATAATGACGAGAAAAGTAGCAGTTTACAAAAATAATTTTACAAACGGAACCTTGAGGTTAGACCGTGGCTCACGCACATAAGCTCAGGTATGAGCGTATGTTTACTGCAACTTGTGATCAGGTGTTAGTTCTTTCTTCCCCTGGACTAATTCAATGAGGCTACAAATGCTATAATATGCTTCTCCAAATAAACTGATCCCAAACTGGAAAGTCTCAAGGATAAATTTTCCATATCCCCGTCCTATATCCCACGGACATGAGTGCCATCTCCCATAGCATGTTGGGTATGCTTAGTGGATTCACCTTGGATCCGGGAATTTCCGACCAATTTACAGATATCTCGATCATAGGAATGCAAAACCATTTGCATAAATACACTAACTCGACATCAAAGCACCACCTGCACAAAGAGCAGATTGCAGTGAATTCCACAACAAAATCAAAAGATTCAAAACAGCACAGAACTAAAGAGAGAGTCTATTGTCCCTAGCAATAATTCTCCAATCGAAGTGTGAGAAAGCAGACCCCATATTGTTCATGTCCTTCCTACTCAACAATCAATGTCTAAGGACTATAATGTACTAATAAATCAGGTAGGCTAAAGATGAAATCAGCCAAAAAAAAAAAAATAGCTTCTGCATTGTATTCGGACAGGAATACATGTACCGATAGAGCAAAGAAGTGGTGCAGGTCTAATGGGGCTCTTCCTCTAAAGATGTGAAGTTTAGACTCCAGTTGGGCTATACTTTCATATACATTTTTCAAAAATTAACCAGCAGTTGGTGTAATAAAAAAAACTTTTAGGGAGGTAACATCAAAGTATATGTAATATCAGGCATCAGTTGGGCAATCCCAAGGATACCCATCCTTGAATGGCCCAATTAGTTACATATGCCCATACCATTACATAACTCTTCGTAATGTCAAATCTCATTCCAATCCAATATACAAAATGGGCGATTTAATGTTAGCTGTTGATGGAATCCATGGAATCCAATTCTGACTGAAGCTGAACATTCCTAATATGTTCACTCCCTCTCCATTAATATGGCATATCTTCATCCTTGTCATATTGTAGAACCACTTCATTGACCAGATAACGCTGTTGTCACTCCCCGCTCCCAGGGAAGCGTGAGATACTCACCAAAATACCTAGAATAATTTAAAGTCCTGCTTGACACAGTGGACAGACATCCTAGCTAATTACTAACTACAAACCAAACATCTTCCATTGTTCAGGAAATACAACAAAGAGGTACATACATGATAGCAAAGTCTAAACTACAATTTTTCCAAATGTGGGAATGAACTAATTCCAAGTCACCACCCTCCAAGGGTTACCAACGCCCATATTCCAATCAGTTTGTTTATACTCGTACTACAAATAAATACATAGGTAGAACCATTTAATAGACACATGTCATCCATACGCCCATGACCCCACAAGTGGCTTTGGCATGCTGCTATTTTTGCAGACTTCCATTTACAAAGCTTCCTTGAGAAGCTACTAGGTTGTACCATATGTATATGTTTATATAGGTAGGTAACAAAATTTCTTTGGAAGCTTTGTTCTAAAGACAGGTGTCATATATATATTTTTTTACTACACATCTATAACAGCAATACAAGTGCATTGCTCCTTCATTTGAGTAAGACACATACACCACCATATATACCAATATACACTTTTATTCCTTCCTTAATTTCTACTTGGGACACAAGGCTATAATTATATACAAAAGATGCAAAGTATCGAATATCTAAATAGTGTCACTACCACTATTCTTATATTTAAAAATCCAGGATACTACAGCCATCATCCCTCATTCATTGACTGCTTGGGCAAGAACTCTTTGCACTAAACGGAATACTGGTCCAGTTTTGTCTAGAAATACTATCATTATTCTTTTACTACAATTAACCAACAGACTACACAATACAGCTCCTCCTTCCTTTATATTGTTTAGCAAATCCATAGTGGGGAAATAGAGCTTCTTGGAGTCAACTTAAGTTCATTTTATCTTGCACAAACTCAAGCTTTCTCCATGAAAAAAGAAGTCCTGTTAAAACAAAGATATACATGTTTGGCTCAGTGGCTATGTTTGTTCCACATTTTAAGGTCACTATTTCCACTCCTTTGAAGCATGTGTTGCAGTTACAATATCATATGCCTTAGCAGATTTAAGTTGCGTAATCTACCACATTTCTTAATATGGGTTCGCACTTTGAATTCTTTGTTACCATCTAACATCATTCCGAAAGTAACCATTTTAACATTTAAAGTATTATCCAGCAAAAATCTTGGAGATTTTTTTTGCATTAGTCAATGATAATTTTCTTATAAAATTAGGAAGGAGACAATTCAAGCTTTTCCTCAGAAGTGAAGCAAATCCCAACATAGTTTATCATTTATAACCAGTATTTTGAGCACAGTTATTACAGATTCAACATGTAGTAAGAAGCTAAAGTCTCCCAGAACCAAAGGGTGAGAAATGTGAAAGGCATCAGAAGAAATGAGTCTGAACAAACTAAGGCAAGTTCAAAATCCTATTCAATTTGTATGCTTTCAATTGAATCAAATAGTACTGCAAATGTGCAGGTATTATGTTAGTATGAGATTTACACCTATTTTTACATCATATCATTAATATTTAGAATCAAGCATCAAATTAAAGTATTACATTTACACATATATACCTAAATATGCTATAAGATTAAACATTATGGTATACCACATAATACCATGAAATGATATAGAATATATCAATCAATGACCCTTTAGAAGGGAGAAAAGAAACATAAATTTTGAAATATAAAAATAAGCCACTAATGAGGTGTGCCTTCATTGCGCTTGGAGCCTGATAAAAAGTGTGTGCCTTAAGGCTTTGACATGAGCCAAAAGGAAGTAGCCTCACCTGGTGTTGAATGAAGCACAATGGCAGCGCTTTGATGAGCGTAACCTAGGGCCTTTTTCATGCTTCTGCATGCCTTTAACAACTGAGGTTAGAGAGGCTACTGCACAAGCACTTTTTCACTTTCTAACTTCTCACTCTTAAGTTGTAATGCTTAAAGCTAATAAAGCATCCACCAATGGTGGATCAATATACTGCATTAATGATGTCTAAGATGTTCTTCAAAGTTGAATTTTAGTCAATCAAACTTCCAAATTTTCAAAAATGAATTTCACCTGAATAACTAATCTTACATTAATTTAATAATGGTTTTCCAAATATAATAAGAGAAAAAAGTTGGTCAAATTAGAAGCACATCTAGCTTGGAAAATCATTTCTGTCAGAAGTATACTAAACAAACCTGAACCATTGATCACCTTCGTCAGGCCAAAATTTCCCAAACACATTTGGCCATGGTTGACTGTATTAATGTCATTCTTTCTCAAAGAGTTTGAAGCGATTATTGTTAATATGCTAAGGAATGCTACTTTCATGCCACTGAAAGAATATTTGTTTTCCTAGATTGATACTTTTTTTTTTTTTTCCACATTTTTGTGCTCTGTAGATCAAATCTCCATAAATGTGTCAATTTATTTTTATGGTATCATACGGTAGCTGATATATGTTTGATTGATTCAGGCTTACACATAGTAAATTCATAAAGACTCAATAGATTAATTCCTTAGACCAATAATTGTTCAAGGACAATTAACATCCGCAATGAGCTTGGTCACTTGCAAATTCAAGAGGCTGAGTACCCATTGATTTACCCAGGATGCTGTCAGGGATGTAAAATTAAAAGTACAAAAGCAGAAAAGCAGGTTAACGGTTAACCTAAAACGGACAAGTTGGTGGCAGAAGTACAAAATATTCTATTCAATTAGTAAACAAAAAATGAACACAACATTATTTCACAGTTCTAGCTGAAAGAAGTCATTCCATAATTTAAGGACAGAGTAAGTAGGTTATCTACGGTTCCCAAAAGAGTTACCTCTTCAAACGTATGTTTGTAAAAAGCTTCCGTGCAGCAGCTCTGGTAAACATCTTAAAACCACACTGTGAAGCATGGAAAAAGTCCACATTAAATTAAAAATTGATGCAACATACATGGAATACAGACTTCAAAATGGATATCAGACTGGAAGAAGAAATTTATGAAGCAGATAAGTTACCTGAGTATCACGAATCCCCGAACCAGCAGTAAACAGAACCACAACATGAAAGCCCTTCATCAAAAAATTGCGATACCACTTCCTCTGAAACATAAAGTGAACTAGAACTACTAAGAAAAAATAATAATCAAAAAGAAAAAAATAAAATTATAAAAGAAGTGTGAAACTGAAATTAACAGCATTAACACGACTGAACTGTAGCAAGAGCCTTCTCCTCAAGATGAGCACGAGAACCAAATGCAGCAATTGGTATATCACAAATTCTTGAGCTTGAATTGCTAGAGGCCAAATCTCCAAAATCAAGTTCTTTTTGAGCAACTGAACGTATCTGATAAATACATAAATAAATAGGGACTCCGTTAATACTTTTCCACCATTTCCACATATATTAAAGCATAAAACTAATAATACTAAATTAACTACAACTCAACAAATCCTTTTCCCAACTTCAGCTACATGAATGTTTTTCCATTATTCCTCTGTGTCATAGCCTCAGTTAAACCACATGCTTAGTCGTATATTCTTAGGATTTATGGAAATGAATAAATAGTAAATGCACAATATGTAGTCGCAGGACACCAACCTGATTTTCAAGTTTTTCTAGATCATTAACCTTGGTTGCCCCATCAGCATCTAACATTAGAAGTAGTTCACCACGTGAATGAAGCATTCCCTGTTTTACAATGCTTCGCAGAAGTGAAAAGCTTTAATCAATTATATTTGTGATTAGAGGAGAACATACACATCCGTCAACACCATCAAGAATTGCTGCTGCTTGAATAAATGGTTTAGTTTAGACTCACTTTTCTTATAGCTTCTCCCTTGCCTTGATTCCTTCCAAGAAGGATAACCCTGACATTGTCTACAGTGTACTTTCTTACAAAGTCAAAAGCTACTCTCTTAGTTCCATCCGCACTACCATCATCCACAATTAGCACCTGATCAAGAATTAATACAGTTAAGAATGAAAAATACCCAAGAAACAATACACATAAGGTCCAAAAGCACACAAAATTTTAAGGATAGAGTCTAAGCAATTTGGAACATATTCACATTATTGTTTAGCAATTTCTGAATTGTTGAGAAATGGGGTATGGCCATTACAATAAACTTCTAAATTTTTTACATGATCCAGAAAATTCATCATAGCTCCAATGTTCAATTCAAGAGAGAATTCAAATAAGGTTTCACAGTGTTCACAACTTCACATGTCAGTCATAGCCAAAATGCAGTAAGGCCGGATATACTAATCAGGGCCGAAGCATATATTATGCCACGTGAAGCTTATCTTAGACTACGTCAGCCTTAAATCAGGGCTCGAGCTTACATGGCAGTGCCGCCACACTCCTATGACGCTCATTTTAAGAGCGTATTCAAATGCGGCACCCTGCAAAATTTATTTAGCTACGACACCAGTGTATAGACATAAACTTATATAAGAGAGTTGGGCCAGGATGTACTACTCTGGGCACAAGCTCACATTGATTCTCTGACACTATCAACACTTTTCAAGGTGGAACATGGATGGTCAGAACTTATACCAACTTACCATGAGGTAAATGGATAATTAAATTAAAAGAGCAAATCATAGCTGCTAAAACCAATTCAGATAACCACCAAAGAAAGTAAAAGGAACTAAATCATACCTCATAAGAAAAGGACTTGTCCTTTGCTGCACGTTTTTGAAGATAACTGCAAAGTGAAGATCCAAATTTGTTATGATGCTTAAGCACTTCTATAGAAACTCAAAGTCCAATATTGCAAATCACCACCTTCACACTATAATAACATAACAAAAACTATTTAAATATTCTAGATATTAAGAATTCATGCGCGCATACAGCTCCATTCAGCATTGAAGATGCCATAGCCTGATTGGTTTATTGCTAGCATATCCTAGGGACTGTACCTCTAACCTGGTCCAACCCTACTCTCCGAAATCCATATTTAAAAAACAAGTGCAGAAATTATTATTATTGCTATTGTATGGACGGTGAATAAGAAAACATGAAAACAATGAGTAATATCATGCACTTTCCCATAGCCAATGACAGTTTGTAAATAATAATAATTAGACAGCCACAAGTATCTTAATAAAGTAAAAGATTAAAAAAGGAAACAGTGACTTATTAAGAAAACTGAAGCATGCATCACAGAATCATGATTTATCATCACCAAAAGCAAAATAGTTTAATAACAATACCATTGACCTCAAAAGTGATGATAAAAATGAAAATTATATAGTTTTTTTTTTCTTTTTCGGGGGAACTTACTTCATGGTTTCATCAAGAGCTCCAGGAAGCCTGTGCTCCTCATTGAATGCAGGAATAATCAAAGATATGTACTTGTCTGCAGGATCAAAGATGTAAGGACATGGAATCTGCACAACTTTAACATGGTTAGTGTGTTCCAAAACAGCTTTATATTTTAGTAATTTAATGATACCAAATATCAACTTTATGCATACCTCAAATTAACTGAAGCGATAAGGCTAATAAATATAAATACTTCTACTTCTCCAATTCAAAACTTGATTAAGAAGTTAGCTTCAGTTCACTAACTTGTAGAACAAAGCATAGACTCTCCCTGTTTCTTTACAATGGTTACCACTCAACTTGTCCTTTTGTGATATATTACCACAAATGAATACGATAAATTTCTCAAATATGAGTTTAACAGACTGCATAACGGAGGTAATGAACCTTATTTCATATAGCAACACTAGCATGTTATACAACACACTTCCATTTTCTGCTTCCAGCCACTCACAAGATTGCACAAAATGAGGCCTTTCTGACGGCGATCAAGTGTTTTTGGTGTGTTATGGTTGTTAAAATAAGTTCAACTCATATTAGAATATTATTAATTCTACCAAACACTTCCGACTGTAGTTTTTCAAGATCGGAGACTTCCTTTTGTGAAGTGCTTTAATTGCTACTATGATTCTACAGTCTTTAGTTCTCTCCAATCTTTTAAATTACTTTTGATTTACACTGTGTAATGCACATTGAGATCGAGTTTGGACATCAAAACACACCTTTGTTGTTGCATTAAAAATTGAATTGCATTAGAAGGTACACAACCATTGTCACGAATGGACCACTAGAGAAAATTAAAGCCATCACTACAACTGATGGCATTGGATTAACCTATCAATAGCCCCATTCAGAGTTACATATCTGCTGCATCAACTAAGCTATATGCATATATGAGTACAAATACATATATATGTGTGTATAATTTATAGATGAAGCAGCGGATACCTGTTTCAATGAATTTGGATCCTCGAAGATCGGATGAGCTTCAAGGTGACTGACAAAGAAATTCAAATACAACACATTCAGAACAGGAAAATGATATATACTTCATATATATATATATATATAAACAAAGTAAAAGTAGGGTTTCTGATTAGGACATACACATGATTGAATCTTCTTCTGAATGCTTCAAAAACAATCGCAGCGACTAAACCTAACGCCAAAACCAGAGCTACGATGACGAAGAATAGGACGATCGACCATACCAAACCCATTTTTGTTCTGATTTGAGATCGATTTGAACAACTAAGCTCCAATTTGTAGGGATTGATTTAAATTTGATAGCTTCTATCCTAGAATACCTTCAGAAGATCAAGCTTCCGTGGGCCCGTCTAGCTCAGTTGGTAGAACGCAAGGCTCTTAACCTTGTGGTCCTGGGTTCGAGCCCCACGGTGGGCGCGTATTTATTTTACACAATTATTATTTTTTATTTTTTGTTTAGATAAATACGTTCTATTTTGTTAGATAGACACAATTATTATTTTTTATTTTTTATTTTTTCGTTAGATAAATACTTAATATATTCATAAGGTTTTAATAAAGATCTGAAATTACATCATTCAAATTATCTTAACTAATCTTATTTTATCTTTAATTGGTGCTATTAGAACCATCTTCCCATTTATAATTCTATCATTTGTGGTCTTACCATACAACCATCTCGACATGTGCATTTTCTTTCGGCACTATGTACAAATGTTGATTTGTAACTACCTAATATTTATAGTTTTAAAAAACATAAAAGAAAGGTACCACAAAGTATGACTATTCTAGTAGTTGTTTTATAGAAATAATAAATTAGATACACTATTCTATTAATGTGATTAAAGTCATCTCCAATTTCTCCATTGTTATAAAATTATAAGCACCCGAATAAATTAGACACACTATTCTATTAATGTGATTAAAGTCATCTCCAATTTCTCCATTGTTATAAAATTATAAGTACCCGAAAAATACCAAAATTAGGCCTATTATTTAAAGTTCATCTAAATGTAATATTTTTTTTCTTGACAAAAAATTCAAATACACATTTACAACTATATTTCTAAATATTGCATTTGCTCATCATGTACAAACCTCAAACTCGTAAGTCAAGATCCTCTCAATAAAAAACATGAACAATCCAAATGCTGGAACCCTTTGCATCGTCTCAAAACATTGTCCAGAGTAGAAATGAGTCATTAAAGACAAAATTGCTTGAAGATTTCTCTATAACATAAGCATACTAATAATTTGGACTTTCAAAATTACAATGACGTTTATATATTCCTATAAATAAAAAAGAAAAAAAATCCACTTCCGGATTCCGTTTGTGCCCTTTTTCACTTCCGTCTCAAGAGGGGTATTTGCAAGCACCGTGACCTGTAATCAACATCATTTAAGAGTTCAATTCATTGTGCAAAATATTCAAAAATTTAAATTATGAAGTGTTGCCAAAAAGTCTATATTAGGTGGCCTATGGCACTTTATTATTCTTAATATTTTGTTATTTATTTGATTGATCCATGAAACGACTTGACTAAACTAATAGACTTCCCGCGCCTTGGCAGAAGAAGTTTTCTTTATTTGGTTGAAAAAAAAAAACACAAAGGAAAGGAGGGAGAAGAAAAAAACAAAGGAGGATGCTAACTCATATTTTAACCTTTAATTTCTTACAAAATCCTTGTTAAACCCTAGTCTACTGAAAATTTCTCACACATATAGTGAAGGCATATTAGTGAAAAAAATAGAAAAAAATTTAAAAAACTCTCTTTCCCTTTCTTCTAACCAAACAAAAATAAAAGTCCTGATCACTTACTGGGGTCAACGTTGGTTAAAACAGCAGTACCAGCGAAATCACAATTGAAATGGTTGCGGCCTTTGATTTGATAGAAAGCGTTCATGGCATAAGCTGCATGAGACCAGGCATTGTTGGGCTCAAAGCAAGGCCCACCAGGTTGAATGGGCTTGCAGTCCACTTGCTCACACGCATGGTCTCTGTTTGCCTTCAATTTTGGATCACTCACTTCTGACTTTGGTATACACCACTTTTTTCCCGCTAATTTACCCGTTTGCTTCACACCACCTTGCTATGCATGCAATTATCAAAATCAATAAGTATAAATATATAAATATATATATAAAACGAATAAAGCCAATTACAATTTTTTTTCGTTGTTCTTTTAAAACCATTTTTGCTTTTGCATCGGAATACTAAACCAAACTCGCTTTACTTGCCTCTTTGTGTGACCATGAAACATATCATATTATATTTAGTGACTATCAACTTAGGTTCCGCTTTGTTTGAATATAAAATATTTTTTAAAAATATATATTTTTTATTTTTTTGGTACTTGGTTGTCATTAAATATTTACGAAGAAAAAATTTATTAAAATATAACAAAAATAACTTATTCGTTAATTTTTAACAAATTAATTTATATGTTTCGCCCCGTGGATTTCACCTAAAACTTTAGCAAACATCAAAAAAATAAAAAAAATAAAAATATTTTACTTGAAAAAAAAAAGGAATCTTTTAACGGAGGGTAATATGCATAAGTGTTCATTTGATTGATGCATACAAAAGTTTAAGGACGAAATATATATATTGTATAAAGGAATCACAGTATATATTGTCATGAATATGAAAAGTAAAAAAAAAATAAAATTATGTGAACCTTTTCCATAATTACCCCCGGCAGAATGCACGACAATGAATTGTTGGATGAGGAGAGTAGAAATGAGAAAGGTGAGAATATATGAAGATTGTTTTGCAGACATCTCCATTGTCAGGCGTCCTTAATTTTGATAATGAGAGAAAACACATGTAATTACAAGTTCATATATATATATATATATATATGTATACATATGCTTTTGAAATGAGAGAAAATATATATAATTACAAGTTTATATACAGCTGCAGGGACGAATGTGAGAGAGAGATGTATTTGGGTTGGCTTGTCTTTTCACGTTTCCAAAAGTAGGCATATAATTAGAATGAAAGAAGTGGAATTATCATAGGGGATAAGTGGTCATGATAGTTTTGGATTTATTAATTAGAAAGTTACTATTTTTGGCTGTCAGATTGATGGTCTGTTTGTTTGGAAGAATAACACTTCATCTCTCACAGTCACACAAACCACATACTGTTCAAAAAAGGGTATTGAGAAAGAGAGAGAGAACTAGAGAGAAGTTTTTCTCCTTACCACGAAAAAGTAAAAAACAAAAAAGGTTCACTAATATAATGTGCTATAACTATTTAAAATTTAAGTGATATATAAAATGTTCCAAGTATGACCTTATAGAATTAATCAAGTCCAACACATCTTTAGAATTTTAAATTTAAGTTAGAATTTTAAATTTCCAACCCGGACTAAAGTTTCAGATTTAAAAATTGGGTTAATTTGGGTTGCTCTTATAGTTAATTTCCACACTGAAAAATGAAAAAATAATTAGTGTGAGACAACCATGTTAGTACCATTACAGTAACACTAGGACAAAAATATTGAACTTATTAAGCAATCAATACAAAGATTACAAACTACTTATCAAATGGAAGCAATACAAATATATATATATATATATCCCATATTAGTTGTCCACTTCAAAAATCTTGACTCACAATTTTTGTGAGTCAAAGTTACCAAAGTAGACATCTAATATAGGATATAGGTAGTATATAAGTATATATGAAAGGAATATGATTAAAAATAACCTCAAATGACTCAAAAATAAAAGATGGTAGTGAGTTAAAGTTTTCGAAATGGACAACTAATATAGGACGGAGGTACTTATAATCAATTTCACAAATCAATTATAAAATTAGAAATGTGACTCGTATTTATCTGGAAGTTAAGGCATAATTAAGTACGCAAGAATAAAATGAAATATTCATTTTAACAATTCTTTTTTTTTGGGTATGAAATTTAAAATAAGAATGACTATTCATTCAAAGTGCATAAGAAAAATCATTCCACATCTAAACATTTGAAATAATGATCATTCCATTCTCAAATAAATTTTTAAAAAAAATCAAATTTCTAAAACATTAACACGTTTCAAGTCCAAAAATCACTGCCACCTCTGTCACTACTGTCCACTGTGGCAATCACCTTCCACCACTGCCTTTTGCCACGGCCATTGGCTTGCACCACTGTGACCAGGGGCAGAGCCAGGATCGTGTGATTGGGAGGGCCAAAGTGATGAACTGAGTGAGAGAGAACTCAGAGAAGAGAGAATGTGATGGACTGAGTGGGATAATCGTTAGCATTCTGCCAAAAAAAAAAAAAGAAAGAAAAACCCCAAAAGTTGACCCATATCTTAAGGAAAAGAAAAGGCGGGGTGGAGTTACAAAAAAAAAAAAAAAAAAAAAAAAAAAAAATTGAAGAAGAAGAAGAAGAAGAAGAAGAAAGGGTCAAAGCATTATAAAATAATATATAATATAAATAAACAAACAAACATCATTGAGGCCAGGGGACAAGAGATTCAAAAAAAAGGAAAAAAAAAAGAAGATATTTTATTTTAAATATGTTAAAAGAAGTAAAGATGATATAATAAATATATATATATATATATAATAAAATAAAAAATTTATTGCGGGGGCCAAAGGTACTCATTACCTTGCCCAAGTTATACTAAATTGTTTTTGAACCTCTACTAATAAAAAATACTAAATTCCTTGCAGGGGCAGGCACCCCCTCGCCTACCTCTGGCTCCGCCCCTGACTGCGACTGCCGCCTTACACCACCACTCAGAATAATAATTACCATTTTATTCTTACGTCATTTCATAATTGTAAATAAACAATAAAATGAGAACTATCATTATGTTATATTCTCATTTTATCCCGTTCCTGTTCTATTTAGTCCGTTTATACCAAATCAGGCTTTAATGTTCTACTCATTAACTACGGTGTTTTTTTAAAGGGTCAATTACTACACATGAAATACAGCCTTGCCACGAACAATAACAAGGTCGATACAGCCATCCCATATGTATTTATTTGACTGTACGTTTTGTAAAAATATTCAGCCATACAAACTTGTAGTTCTAGAACTACATTAATTGGAATACACACAGATATATGTGTGTGTGTTGGGGGGAGGGGGGGGATGAAAATTATATTTATTTCCTATATAAATATTTAGAGAGAGATTTTTGTCATAATTCATTAACAAATGTCTGTGTGTGTGTTTTTTTTTATTTTAAAAATGACATCAATTTAGAAGCACTTGATTTATTTATTTATTATAAAGTACAGAACATTCCGCCATACAAAAGGGATACACTAACAAAAGGGTATTAACTTTATATATTCCCTATAATTAATATCAATATTCATCGTCTATATATATACACTCAATTGTGTACACAGA